AAACATTGGGTTGATAACTTCTGTGACAAGATAACCTTTCTCTTTAGATAACATTCAAATCTGAAAGTAATAAACATATTTATTTTTAATGTTGTTGTCATTATTTATATATTTTTTTAACCTAATAAAATTATTTATTGACAATTACTAAAATATTTATTTATTGTTGCTAATGGGGACTAGAAGCCTCATTGTTAGCAATAACAAGATGACCTTCACACTGTCCTCTCTTAAAACCACATTGGTTAATTCTTCATAAATTTGTTATGATGACCAATATTTATTACTCATGATCAAAATCATTTAGAATAAAAAATAATACCATATCATAGTAATTTATTTGATTTTATTTGCTAATATTATAGATCTTATCATTTGTGCTGCATCAGTTTACTAATAAGCATGGATATAACATACAGCATAACATGGAATACAATTTTATATCTTTCTCATTAATAATCTAATTTATATCTGTCTGCCAGAAGAAGAATTTGTTCAAGTCCTTTGCTTGAATACCTCTACTCCACTCATTTTTCTGCTGTTAAATAGCTATACTGGCATAGTTGTACTAGTTTAAAGGGAAAAATATGATATTGAAATTACAAGATACAGAGATAACATCTTAATCCACAGGAATAGCAATGCATGACTGATACCACTTAGTGATACAGTTTATTCTGTGATGTATGAGGTGCTGTTCATGTCTATAGATAATTGTTAGTACTTTCCACCATGTGAGAGGCCAGCTTTATATGCCATTTCAAATTTCATAGAAAAAATGTACTAAGTAATATTATAAATTAACTGTGCAATTTTAATCCTAGATATAAAAAATCCCTCATATTAACCCTGGTATACCAAAATTTCTTAAATCTATTTAGTTGTTTATGCATAACCAGAAAATGTTTATAATCTTTTACATTTATGATAGTACTAATAGGATATAAAAATGAATATATATGCTTAAATGTTTATTAGACAAGCATCCCTTAATTGCACAATAAATTTTAATGAAAATCACCGACAGATTGTATACTTCAAGAAGATATTTTTATTCCAATACATAGAATAAAAATATCTGTAAATGATCATGTAAAATTGAATCAAACACAGGATTTATGTAATTGCTGTATGCTTCATAAAAAAATATATTTTTTATTTGATGCTGGATGATCGTTTAATGACATTAAAAACCTGTTAATAATACAACACCTTATACAATATATTTATTAAAATAACCCATTCCTTAAAACTAGTATTAGTATTCATTAATAGCTTCACCATTTTTTTTTTTATATATTTTATATTATCTGAAACTAAAAATATAAATTTCCGAAAAAAAAACAATCTATAACAATAGCACTACATAGTACAAGGTATGTACATATCTATTCTTATGAAAGGCCATGGCAGTTCATATTATGTAGCTGCAGTCATAATTTTTAAATATCAGAATTACTTACCTGCAGTAAGTAGCTTTAGAAAACAACAACATTATTTATAATATTATTTACAATTATTCAACTCACTCCTTTACTAAATAAAAATCATAATAAATGTACTTACCTGTTTACCTAGAAATATTAGACAGAAGTGTGTAGAGATAAAATCAAAAATATAGTGAACAATACTTACATGTTACTCCAGGATGTTGTGCTCCGATGTCATACACTCAATTTCTTTATTTACATATAATAATACGCCGCTTAGAAAAAAAGTAGTCATAGGCAGATTAAACTGTAAAGACGTGATTTTTACTAGTTTATTGGAAAATTAACCGAGAATATATAAATTCATGAACTGAAGACGAAATACACAATCAATAAACATCAACAGTTTTTTATAAGATACAGCACGACCGACGTAAGAAGCTTTATCTTGAGAATGGTATCTCAAAGCGGATTTTTTCTGGTTATGGAAAAAATCAGTACTGTATTAATTTATTGTTAGTACACTTATTCTCTTTAGACTAAAATCCCGATCACTTCACAATTACACAGTTTTTGAAACTCAATAATATGCAGTTTTAAGGGAAGAGGCGTTCGCAATTCGCATTTTACTGATAATAATAATATTCTGGCCCACTGCGGTGCGCATCGCATCTGTCAATTTTTAGGTTACAAACATACTACTAGTGCCATCTAGTAGACACTGCTGTTTCTTAAAGCGATAAGTTATCAAAACAAGTATGAAACAAGAAACAACCCCCTTTTTTATAATAGCTTTACGGCTTTGGATATTTCCTTTTAGCTCATCTTCAATATCTGTTACTCGCAGCGAATATTATTCTTGAAAAATGTATATAAATGAATACATCTTGACATAATTACAAATGTTTTAATAGTGTGGAGGAAACAACCCCTACAGATTAGTGGTGAGTATATATTTAATATTGTATTTCATTTATTATGTCTAACTAATTTAGCTTATTTCGGTAGCTCACAGTGAACAGATAGGTACATTATCTGGATTGAAGCAAGGGATCCGTCGAAATTGATCTTAATAATTTTATTAATACCTATAATAAATGCGAAAGTTTGTAAGGATAGATGGATGCATGTTTGTCACACTTTTAAGCAAAAACTGCTGAACGGATTTAAATAGAATTTAATTACAGTTAAGCTATATTTTTTTTTATACCACTGAGGTGGCAAACAAGCATACGGCCCACCTGATGGTAAGTGGTTACCGTAGCCTTTGAACACCTGCAATACCAGAGGTATTACGCGTGTGTTGCCGACCCTGAAGAAACCTCTTGAAAGAACCCCATGCTGTAGTCTCTTGGGAAAACCTCGGCAGGGAGCTCATTCTACAACCTGAGTGTTCGTGGGAGGAAATATCTTTGAAACCGCGCAGTACGCGACCATTGAGGCTGTAGGACATGAGGATGAACTCCCTGTCGATGGCGAGCCGTACGATGGTAGAAAGTGGCTGTGGGCATCATATTGAACAATTCCTATGAGTACAATCCATTGTACAAGCGGTAGAACACGCAGAGTGAGGCAAAATCTCTCCTAAGATTTAAGGGTTCGATACCGCCTATGAGCTTGGGATCATCGACAATTCTCATAGCTCGTCGTTGCAACGAGTCGAAAGGTTCAAGCTGGTATTTAGGTGCTATTTATTAACTTAGCAAAGAATATATACCGATTCTCGCGGGGGGGGGGGGGGATACAGTTATTATCTATTAATTGTATATATATATACAGAAATTAATTGTCACTAATATTAAGTATTACATTATCTGTGCTATTTATAATCTAAAATTAATTATAATCTATTATGATGTTAATGTAAAAAAGTGTTTGTTTTTACCTCTTAATTTTCTACGTACACTAGTATTTGGGATGAAGTCCTTTCCTAGTCCAAAAAATAGAGATAAATTTTACAAATGGAGGAATTTTTAAAGTTACAATACAAGTAAAAAATAAAACACACCAGACCTTTTTTTCTGCTTTTAGGGGCTTAATAAAATGATTTTTTAATATTAATTTTAAAAATAAAGCTTTAGAAATTTCTGAACAAACTTTTTCTCTTTTGCGTAAATATGTGTGAAAGTAATTTACCAAAGGAAGACTCGTAAATTGGTACGAAAACAAAGAGACATTTGCATGGGTACCTTTGTATTATGTTTAGCATAAGTAGTTACTTTTCTGGTCAAAAAAACGTATTTACTGTAGGGTGCCTGCTAAAACTTCTGATGTTTATACCAAAAAGTGATGCAACAAGTGAGTGATGCCTCTGGTGATGTAAACAAAATAACCTGCTTACCATTAGACGTGGCCCGTCTAATGGTATTTGCAGGTTATTTGCTTACCATTAGACGGACCACTGATGTGTTGCTATTTGCCACTCTTATTATATAAAAAAAAAATTGCACCGCCCAATTTTTGTATGCAGTTTTAGTTAAAATTTGTATAAGATAAAATATATTTTATAAAATTAAATACTTAAAGAACATACATACATACATACATATCTGTCACGCCTGTCTCCCATTAGGGTAGGCAGAAACAATGGAACGCCAAATGCTTCGATTCAAACAAACCTCTTTCGCTTCTTCCACATTCATCAATCTTGTCATACACGCTCGTCGGTTACGGGTACTTTTAATTTGGCCCTTCTTCAGCACGTCGCCTATTTGGTCGACATACGTCCGTCTAGGGCGGCCCCTACCGACATCTCCATTCATTCTTGCTCGATAAATCTCTTTCGTAATTCTTCTTTCATCCATCCTCTCCAAATGACCAAACCAACGCAACATTCCTTTTTCGATTTTGGTCACTACATCGACTTTCAGTCCACACTTCTCTCTAATCACACTGTTTCTTACTCTATCTTTTAAAGTAATACCACACATACTTCTCAAAGCTCTCATCTGTACAGCATTTATTTAAAGAACATACTAATAATATAACAAACAATATTCTAATATTATTAGCTGACTCGGTAAACGTTGTTTTACCATAAACATTATTTCTAGAACTACACATATATCGTACTTCAATTATTATATTCGATTGTCATTTTGCAACCCTATTGCGGCATATAAAAATCGCGATTAAAAAACAGGGGTTGATCGTAGCGTGAAAATTTGAATTTGACCTACCCGATATGCACACAAAATTTCATAAAAATCGGTAAAGCCGTTTTGGAGTTTGGTAACAAACACCGCGACACGAGAATTTTATATATTAGATAAACATGTATTGTATGTTTGTTTGTAACACTTTATTCTACAATAAGTCTTAAATTATAGGCTACAGACTTTTTAAAAAAAGAATGAATACAATGGCGGACTTATCCCATAAAAGCGATCTCTTCCAATCAACCTATGAATGTCTGCTAGAAATTGTAAATTTGTGGAAACGAAAAAATTATAATAGCTAATTAAAAAAATAAAATATAATAGGTGTTACAACACGACCACAACATTGATATTGGACAACGTTATTATTTATTTTTTTATTATTATTTTAGCCATTATCTGTCCACTGCTAGACATAAGCCTTCCCCATAAGCAGAGTTTTGCCAATCGTTGCCACGCTTGGCAAGCGAGTTGGCAATCGCAGTTCGGCTTTTAGATATATTTTAAGAGGGACGCTGGTGCCCATTCCCCGCCACCCCTAATCGCCTTTTACAACATCCACAGGAAGGGAAGGGGTGGCCCATTTTATACCGTGTGTATTCCTATGCCAATATAACATTACTATTGTTTATTATTCTAACTGTATTATTTATTTATTCTTTATTGCACAATAAAACTTTGTACAAGTGGCGAGCTTAATGCCATATGACATTCTCTACCAGCTAACCATTAGGTAAAAACAGAAAGCGTATAAAAGACTATTATTGTTTTATGTAGTTTAGGATAGCGGACAAGCTGAGAATGGTAACCGTCGCCAATGAAAATGAACATTATATTGTCTGTGATGTGCATAGTATCTTTTACATATTATCATTCCTAAGTATTACCACAGATAATATAATAATATGTACTACTATTGATATTATGTCTCCGTACCTTGTGTTAGTTACCTAGTTATGAAGAAAATTTGATATAAATGTACGCTTTCGCAACTTGATACGTGCTCAAACGTCAGTTTTAAAATTTATAAAAAAAAAAATAATTAACGTAATGAGCAATACTATATTGCTAATAACCAGTGTGGTAATTTATTACAGGTAGGTATATAAATACTTTATGAAAATCTAAATTCATAAGTGTTTGTTTAAAGTGTAAAGTAGAAGCATGACTACAAAACTTGTCATTTGTCTCTCCATTTTATTTGCCGTCAGTGTATGTATATTTTATTAATTTTATCCTTCTAACTCAAAATAGTATAGGTATATGAGTATTTATATTTATATTCTGCAGCAAATAAATATTAAATAGATATATTTAATATTTATTTCATAATATTGTTACAAATACACATGTTTCAACCCCGATAAATAAATTTATTTAATGTAATTTTATGTAATTGAAACGTCAATTATAAGAATAGATGTTATATTTTTTACAAAAATTTTTATAACATTTTTGCTATTAAATTTTGTTAATAGATGCTAAAAAAGTATAAAATTTGATTAAATGAGCTCTATTTTAAGTGTTGTTTTTTTACGTCTGAGCAACTGACCTGCAAATGTTATTTCGCACCCTGTCACTACCAACTGGATCTATATTATTACTCGGGATATACATTTACAAAATTTAATTAAAATCGGTTAAGTAGTTTCGGAAAATAGCGTGAAAGCAAAACGTCATATGGGATCTTTATATAGGAACAAGAAATAATCCTACAAGAAATTATTAAATACCAATACGTTTTTATTTGTTCACAGTTTTGCACTGTATCTTGCCAGTACGGTTATGGGAACCCGGCAATGCATGGAGGCTATGGACCACCTCCTCCTATCATCATAACAAAAGGAGGTGGTGGAAGTCGTGATATGATGTACCCGCTTTTGTTATTGCTATTATTAGATGGTGATTTCTAATGAATGTCTTTTATTGTAATAAATACACCTGATTACATAAGCTGTTGTACATTACCGCCGTATGGTTCCGGCTTAGAATGGATAACCCCTTTCTTTCTAGTGAGTATTGTAATAGGCGACTAAAGGATCTTAATGGTCAAGAGATGGGCAGCAGCGTCCTTCTTAAAACGTCACCAAAGCTTAACTGCGGTAGCTAAACCGCCTGTTAAGCGTAGCAAGTGAAACGCCCTTATGGGACAGGCCTATGTTCAGCAGAGAATAATTAACGGCTGATATGATGATGATGACATTATTGCTCAGTTTTAATAATAATATTATTACTCATTCAGTTATTCACGTGCAGCAGTCATCAATTTTGTTTTTGACAAAGCATTTAGAATCATTTATATAAATATTTTGTAAAAACTGTTACAGATCCATTTAGTTGAAGTAAAAAGTCTTACTGGCCTTATAGGTTACTTACTTAGATTATATAGATCGAACCATCGGCCCTATAGCATCGTACTCCAAAAACGGGCCAACTTTTTGTCAGCTAATTGTCAAATTACCTGACTCGTTTTTTTTTTATCAGGGTTCTATATACCTACTTACGCACACAATGTATCTTGGCTTATCTATATTTGATTATTTACTAAATAAAATTAGTGTTTGCTCATTAAAAAGGTGTAGAATTTATAAGACACAATAAATATAAAAATTATAAAGGAATCATTCATAACTATTTATCACGCAAAATTGTATGAAAAAGTTGACCCGCTTTTCTTGAAGCATTTGTATGGAGAGACACTCTATATTATATACAATCGCGCGCGGAATTTTAAACAAAGAAATAAAAAAAGCATATTATTAATCATATCAATAAGTACTTATGCACCTGCTTACACAATATAAAAGATATTTATACAATTTACCCAAACATTAACATAGTCTTAAGAATGTGCGTATCGACCTGCAGTCAGCAATTGCAGTGTTTTTCCTGTCTAAAGAGAGTGAAAAATTATTTCATTCATCATTAAATTCGTTAGCAATACTTAAAATTGAATCAAACTTATTGCTATTTTTAAATTACACCGATTTTTTTAAAAATCGTAAAAAAGTGTAGAAGCAGAAACTTTTAATTTTTTTGTAATTTTTTTTAACAATTGGAATTGAATGTAACCAATATGAATTTTTAAATAAATAATTCATAACTTCAGTTATCAATGTTTATTATTACTAGTACTAATAAAAAATTACAATTTATGCCCTGTTAGAGGGGCGCCGATGAAGTGTTTGCCTAAGGCGCTCTCGACATTTAATTCCCCTCTGCTTATCCTTCTCTCAAATTGGAACAAAAATATACACTAACAAAGTTGTATGTGACACTAAATTTATATTAGGGGAGAAGGAATTGTCAGTAATGGGACTTGCTAGTGCCCATTACTAACAATATGCCCTATGAGGTCGACCTTTACATGGTTCCGCCCGGAGACCATAGTGGTTAATTATTGTTGAATTCGTCACGATAGGTTCAAAAAAATATTATTACAGAATTAAAAACAAGGCACTTGGTCATCTCCTTGCTATTTCTACGGTATTGAAGTTTCCAGATTTTTATTGGTGTACCGTACCAGCAGGGTTTTTTTTAATGGCTGCTAATGAAATGGTAGCCCCGCCTGCGCTATCATTATACACTGGCAGGGTACCAGTGAGAGATGTGATACGTGTTGATCAGTCAAATGTCAGAACAAATAGAAGTGGGTAGGTGGTACAAGAGTAAATTAATATTATTTACGTGCATAACATACAATTCTATTCGAAGTGGTAGGAATACCGCCAGAGAAGACAGTTTCTTTTAGGGGGGCAATCCCTCTATTAAATCAAAATACTAACGTCGAATTTGATATTTGATACGACCCTTTGCTGAGGATTGTCTCTGGGTGCCCCCCTTAAACCACCTAACTACACCACCCAGCCCCACCCTAAGCCTAGTACTGCGTGATAAAATAAGTTTGTGAAATAAATCTACTGTCATGAATTAATACAGTCTCTTGCCACATGGCGCTATGTCGGAGAAAATGTATTTATTTGCACAGCATTTGCTATTATAGGAAATCATCCCCGAAGTCGGTTGCTCGGATATTCACAATAGACAGGTACTATCATTTGTCTATACCCGGATTCGTATGACTGCAAATTATGTGTCTACAATGAAACCTATAATAACTTAGGTATCTACATATCTGGCAACTAATGCAAATGTGAAAATATTATGCTGTCAAAAAGTATAATAGCATGATTACTTCTTAATCACTAGACGAATTGTTAAATACAGTTTTCCAAACAGCGCTATCAGCAGTCGAGTAGACATATATTTGTAGCAATATGGGACTAGATTATAAAATAGTACTAGTTACTAACTAGTTGTGCATATTTGTAACTTACGCAAAAATTAATTTCTTTTATATTTGATCGTTTATGATACTTAACAATAATTCTCTATGTTAGAAATTGTGTTGTGTAGTCTGTGGTCAATTCGAGATAAAAAAAATGGATGGAACTAGGTATATACGATAATTGATAAAATAATTGAAAATGTTAGTTATTTTGTTTTACAATTACGAATAAATATTATGTTTTCGAATGTAAGGTGTATAAAAATATTGGAGTCCTTAATGACGTATTAATACCACAAATATTTGGCTATCTATAAAACAAGCACTTTCACCAAAATATGTCTTATCTCTTTGATTAGATATGTTCAAAATTGTTCTATGTTTTCACAAATTATTGGATATACCAGTGATGATTTAAAAGACTAGTGTGTGCGAAATGTCTAATTCGACTTGCAGTGAAGAAGACGAGTCATTTCCTCTTCACGAATGTGTATTTATTGGAGACGTTCGTAAACTGTCATTGTTACTGAGGAACCACGATGTGACGCGTAAGGACAAACATGGAAATACGGCATTACATCTGGCTGTTATGCTTGGTCGTAAAGAATGCGTTCAACTCCTTTTAGCCCATAGTGCACCAGTTAAAGTAAAAAATCTCGCGGGCTGGTCTCCACTTGCGGAAGCTATTAGCTATGGAGACCGCCAGACCATATCGTCCCTTGTCCGTAAGCTCAAGCAGCAAGCACGTGAACAAATGGAACATAGAAGGCCAGATCTCATTAGAGCTCTTGCTCAAATACAAGACTTCTATATGGAACTCAAATGGGATTTTCACTCTTGGGTGCCTCTAGTATCTAGAATATTACCTTCTGATGTTTGTAAGATTTACAAATCGGGCTCAGGAATCAGGTTAGATACCACTTTAGTCGATTTCACTGATATGAAATGGGAAAGAGGAGACATATCTTTCATTTTTCAAGGAGAGAAACCACCAAGTGAATCACTGACAGTGTTAGATAACAAAGCTAAAGTTTACCAACGGGTCAGGTATGAGGAAACTGAAAATGAAATAGAGGATGAAGTTGATATTCTGATGTCCAGTGACATACTGGCTGCACAGATGTCAACCAAAGGTATTGCATTTTCAAGGGCTCAGTCAGGTTGGATATTCCGAGAAGATCGTAAAGAAACTGTAGCTGGTCTATATAAGAGTGATATTTATACAATTACAGGATTAGTTTTAGAATCACGTAAGAGGCGAGAACATTTATCAACTGATGATTTACAAAAAAATAAAGCTATCATAGAAAGTCTTACTAAAGGTAATACACATAATTTAGATACAAATGGAGAACCAGCACGTAGAGCATCATTGAACCCACCCCCTGAAAGCAATGTGGATTGGGAATCATACATATCATCTCCACCAGGACAGTACCCCGGCCTCGGTAGAGAACTAGTTTATAAAGAATCATCTAGGAATTTTAGAGCTACAATAGCTATGAGTGATGATTTTCCACTCAGTGTAGACATGTTGTTGAATGTCCTTGAAGTTATTGCACCTTTTAAGCACTTTGCAAAATTACGTCAATTTGTTGCCATGAAATTGCCTAAAGGATTTCCTGTCAAGATTGATATACCAATTTTACCTACAGTTACTGCTAAAATAACATTTCAGAAGTTTGATTTTCGGGATGATATACCTGAAGAACTGTTCATTATACCAGACGATTTTATAGAAGACCCGCTACGGTTCCCTGACTTATGACGCTTTGATATTCTAACACTGTTTGAAATAAGTGAGAGACCAGTACGGCGACGTGAGGAGAAACGTGGACGACGTCGGCTAGTAAAGGGAGCCCGTTGCAGACCAGTCACTCATGGTCTGCTCACCATTGAATTCCCCATGCTGTTTGGCTTGGGCAGTTCCTATTCCAGCCATTGTGTCCTGTTTGTTGAATAGCTAAATTTATTTGTAGGTAAAATTGGTGGTGAAATGTCATGTAGTTGTTTGTGTCAAACAGTGTTAGAATAAAAATCTGTGTCTGAAGAATGTCCTTAGGGTATTCAATTGCTGCTTGAGATAACATACTTGAAACAACACTTAGATTATTTCTATATTATTAAAATTGTACTTTTTTTTCTACAATTCCTATTAATCAACTACAAAGACAAACTAATGTTTAATAGTCAAATGAGTATGGGTGTCTGGATAATGTACTCAATTCTTTGCTCATTTAGCATGTCATTGTGTCCACAATAGGATTTTTATTTTTATGTATTGTTTTTTACTTTAATTATTTGTTACATGTATAAATACCTATTTGAATTTAGTATATTATGAAATGTGTTTATGTTAAATAAATGACACAATATACTTGTCTAGAAGATAATACATTTGGAATAGATTATTATGTTATTTGTTTTACTTCTTTTATTTTCTTGTAATATATGTAGAAATATATAAAATTTAATATATAATGTTGGAAAATTTGTAAATCATTATGTTTCAATAATGATATTACCAATAGTTTAAGTTTTTTTATTTATTATATATAAGCACATACTTTAAACAGAAGAAATGGTTTCTTTTGATGAATCTAATAATGGTCTTTAAAAGCCAGAAACAATGCCTGATATCATTGAACACCTCATTAGTATTTATAGAAAATAAATTTCAAATTTTATTCAATCATAATTCAATATCAATAATATTAATTTATGACATTTGAGATTTACTAACATTTTTTGGTTACTGTATATAACCTACCTGCATTTTATTCATTTAAACTTAATAAAATGTGATACTATGTGGACTAAAATATATTGGCATTCTCTACTAGTCAACTTTCAGTATTTCTCTTTGGTCTTAGATAACATTTAAACCTAAATGAGTTTGGAAATCTTCTATTTTATGAAAAAATAATATTATTCTTATAATAGAATAGAAAATTTGCAGTACCATAATACATTACAAGATTTGTTCTGAAGAGTTAGCTATCAAGAATTAAAATAAGGTTGATTAGTGTAAATATGTTACTGACCAACAAGAGTTAAAATATTTCTTTCATTACTTATAAATCTATAATTCTATTATCAATTTGATTATATTGATGATATTAGTCCATAACAATTTCATAGAATTTTCATAGTTCAGTAAAATATTGATAGAATTATCAAATTGCAATTTTAGTTCAAAATCGCCTCAAATTCGTATCCAGAATCTTAGAACATCGCAATGGTAACGCGTGAGGGTTACTATGGATGGCACGGTGTATTCCGTGAGGCTTATTCAAGTTTATATCTAATATACACTTGCTGGGCATAAATATCTAGACTGAAAATAATAGCTTTTAAATATAACATGTATCTCTGTAAGAAACGAATCTGCATCTAACCAGGCTGTGGTAATGAAATTACCCAGTATAGCATAATACTTCTACTCCTTAAAAATGGTAACTCAAAAGGAGTAGATAACATGGGCATCACAAACTATACAGTGATGTTCATCAGGTGAGCCATCAGCTCGTTTGGCATTGCAATTTGTTAAAAAAAATTATTCCTGTATGCATATAAGGAGTTTGTATACTTATTTAGAATCTATAAAAAGTAATATGTTTTATATGTCCTGTACCTTTTCCCATTCTTGTTGGTTTTATATAATAATATACTTATTTTTTTAGTGTTCTAATAATGGAAATATTTAGTACTATTTTATTATTACTATAGGATTTATATTGTGTCATTTACTTTCGTGTTTTCTCAGACATCAGCCTAAAGATATTTACCTAAAGTAAGGAATTCCATGTATCACCACATACGAGTACATGTAAGCCTTATGGCCTTAAATTAAATTGGGGTTCAATCATGAAAGGCCTACACAATCAAAATTTAATTAGTTATGTACAAACCTAGAATAGAACATGGACGAAAAAAGAAAGGATTGTATGTGTATCACTAAGTTTTAAATTGAAGTGGATATCCAACGCATGTCAGTACGTTTGGTCTCTCATCTAGAATGCAGTAGCTTCATTTACGTTTTTTTATTTAATTTATTATTAAGTTGTCAAACAAGCGAATGCTTGTAAGGGTCGTACCTGCCTGACGGTAAATACTTACCGTAGACTGTAAACACCTCGTATGTCACGCTTGCATTGTCGACCCTTAAATCTTATTATCTATGCCCTTTTTTTAAGATATGTGATGATTGATGTGTAATTACTTCACTTGTGTATTCAGAGGTCTAAGATCCTTACTTTCTCGTCCGTGGTTATAGGATTAATGAATAAATGTAAAGCCTGTGTGATCATTTTTCGGAGAATAAAATCTCTCTTTTATGTCCACAGTAGGTACCATACTTACATGGACAAATGTATGTTATGACATGTAGTCCAATAATGTGTACGCTAAGGATTGTTTTCGACTGCGCAGGCTTTTAAAAACAGGTCAGTAGTCCCTTAGATATCTGTAGTGAATAAAAGACACATCATTATTAACCATTATGTCAGTGCGTTTTTTTTTTTGTGACCAAATTTTTTACATTTTTATATTATCAATCATTATTATTTTTATGGATTTTGTTAATTTGTTTAGATTTGACAGGGTTAATGTCTGTAGGTACAAATGTGCAAGTATTTTACTTAATATTACAGGAAACCATATTCGAAGTAGGGAGGACTCTTGATCTCACTTATCACTGTATAGAGCTATCAAATATTACAATATTAAAGCGATTTTATAATCGGCTTATTACCTAAAGGAATATTTTTTGTTATAAATTTCTAAGGACGTTAACCTGTTTTCGAAATCGTTTCCATTTATTTGGATTTATCATAAAGGCTGTTACAATAATGTCAAAATGTGGTAGCTTTCGTACGTATTGATTACAATAAAACTTTGAAATACCTAGTAATCTACATGTATATTAATGTAAGGCTGAACTTGACTGTCAACCATTGATTTCAAAGTCCTCGTGCCTTCAGCATTTCATATTTGTAGACTTGTGATAGAATATGTAGTAGGAAATATGAGTATGCATTAGTATTGCAAGTCAATATACCTAGTTACTATTTGTGCAAGCGATTCGTATAAATCTAACAGTAGGTATGCACAGAATGTACTTACTTAATTACCTACTTAGTATAAACTTTCTATTCTAGCATTAGTAGAAGATTAGACAGCTTGTGTAGTGAGTACCTGCGCAAATAGGGATTTATTGATAACAATTTATAATGTTGTAAATTATTTGCGAAACTTGCAATTTAATACTTAAGTACATTCGACAATAACTCCATTCATTGCATCCCACCTTATAAAATTGTATTATGTATAAAATCTTATGTTCTTGCCAATTTTTTCCACGTTTTGTTATAATTTTAATAAAATGACAAACTGTACACAGTGGAATACAGACGTTTTAAAATGTTGTAATAAATTAATAAAATAGCATTGTATAGTTTTTTTTTTCTCCTCAATGTCTCATCATTATAGAAGTGTTAAAAGAATACCAACAAATAATATTATCTATGTAAATCTATACTTCGCACTATGGACTACTAAGTATTCTACTAAAAATTTGTTTCGCTAAGTGAATAAAGGCATTTTTTATTTGATACGCATGTGAGCAGATGTATTTTTTACTATATATTAAAGTAATAAAACACCAATGTTAGATAGATATAAATTTTGCTTTAAATTGACTAGAATTTAAATATAGGTGGTATTATAATTTAAAATTTTTAGTTGCAAAAAGTGACCGTAATCATGGCAAAATTAATATTTTACAAAAAGAGAATTATCTAAATCGGCTAAAATTTCAGTAAGATAGCGCACTACAAACTAAAAAAAAAATACCTGTCAAATTGAGAACCTTGTTTAAGAAAAGCGTTCGGTACGTTCACAATGAAAGATTATAAAAAATTTAATCAAGAAGTGAATAATACGGTTTACATTTAAAATACCTATAACAATGTCAATGATTATAGTTTCGACAAGTACCAACTTAACCATAATATTGAATTTAATATAACAAACTAATCACCAAACTAAGCACCAGAGAGAGACTTTGTACAAAAGTCGATTGCTTGGGTACCTCTGTCCCATTCGTGTTTAAACAGTGAAGCAGTTGTTTGCTGTGTTTCGGTTTGAAGGGTGGGATATGCCGTAAATTTAATGGCTACAGAGAAATAACACCCGAGTCCTCAGGAATGGCAACGCATGGGGGTTATCATGGGCGAAACAGTATAATCTGTTATGCCCATGGTACTGCTCATGTCTATAGGCGACGGTTACCACTTTCCATGAGGTGGGCCGTCAGCTTGTTTGCCATTCTAAGTTATATAAAAAAAAAACATGAAGAAGCGATAGTACTTCATATACAAACAATTATTCCACAATACGTCCATACCAAATATACATTTTTATTAGTCGAGCATAATCAAAGTACTCTGTAAGTAACTTATTGAATTAGCTGACTTGTGAAATGATAAGAATATTTTTCCAAAATTGTGTGTGTATAAAAGTGTAAAATCCACGCGGCAATACCTATAATCCCTTAAAAAAATTATGTACATTATTTAACACTATGTACCTACTTAAAAGACTGACAGTTTCGAATAAATTTGGTTTATAACATGACTAGGTTTGATTTTAGAGATCGAGGTTTTAAGGACTGAAGTATCTATTTTCAGATTACTTTATCAAATAGATATTTAAAAATATTTATAAATACATATCATAAATATTCACCGTCCCCAATAAGGTTTTTATGACAATTTAAAAATCCGCTTTACATACTCGGATCAAATAATACTCATACAAATAATAGATCATAAAAATTTTCAAACACGTATCCATTTCCATAAACGATCATCGCAGTGACTTGCGTGATTTGGTACTGGTACTGGTACTGGATCCCATCATAAACGAGGAATCTTCCATGCCGAGGGTCACTACACGCAACGACACTGTCGACCTTCGAGCTGCAAATATAACGTTTGTTGAATATTAACTCTTATTAGTCATGCTGTATAATACAATTTGGGGTTGGCAGGCATGTTTCTAACTTGACAAGCATAGTATTATACCCACCACTGCAAAATATTTTAACCCTTAAAAGCTTGATTTTTAAATCAAATTAAAAAATATATAAGTCGATTGCATATATTGATTGAATATATAAGAAAAATAATAAAAAAATCAAAACGATATTTTTCTATATTTATTTTGAAAAAAAAAAATTGGTATCATTTTTGATACTTTAGGCATTACGGTAATCAAAATATTTAAATTTATTTAACAATGAAACAATGGAAACCCCGGTATCAAATTTGAAACTTCATGTATTTAAGGGTTAACGCTTACAATAACAGTAAGTCACATCAAGCATGGAAAGGAGAGGAGTTGTTAGTAATGGCGACTAGCAACCCCATTACTGATAACATATCTTGTCAGGTCAACCCACCCCGCGCGGTTCCCCGTGGAAACCATCGTGGTCACGACGGGCTAACTGACCTGCCTTTTCATTCTTACTTATTATCTCTCACTGGTGCCCCGCCAGCGTATACCGTTAGTTACCGGGAGGAGTTACCATTTCATTATCATATATTAAAAAAAATTAGTTACCAACCTGTCTGGCAAGCGTGGCAACTACTTGCAGAACCCTCCTTCTATGGAGAAGGCATATGTTCAACAGTGGATACTTTACGGCTGATATAATATTTTACAAACATCTAGATATGTACTAAATATCGTACACGCATATTATGATAAAATGTAATTATAAAATTACCTTGTTCACGAATATCATCAATCAGCTGAAAAGAAAATAATAGATAAATTATATTACCATAACGATAATGGACGACAAGGCATATTTATTTATTTTTATTATTTATTTCTATTATTTACTTTGTGTATAAAAAGAAAGAATAGAACTACTATAGTAGTGATAAGTATTCCATCAATAAATGTATACTTACAACACTTTCTTGCACCTTAGGAGCGAGGCTTCTTCGAAATGAGGAGATACGTTTCGTGTACCCGCTGGCGATACTCACGCCGCTCTTCGTCGACTCGGTCGATGACGAGAAAATTGACTCTATAAGAAATGCAGAGGGTTCATAACGAATCTTACCTAAAATGTGGCACCGTCGGAGTTATCTGACAATTTTCAGTAAAAATTAAACAAAGTGCTCTGACAGCAAACTAAAATATTGTAAAAAGTTATATTTGTTGACATTTACCTTCCAATTCAACTCCGGCCTCTTTAGAAGGAGTAGTTGTTGCTGTGTCTGATAAAATTCTGTGAATAATTAATAATAATAATATTGTATGATCTTATCATCATATTATTAAAAAATTTAATTAATTAGTAATTTTTACCTCAATATAAGTACAAGTATATTTCGTGTCATAAAAACGGCGACATCAATCATGTTTTTAGAACATAGAATAGACTGCATATATTTTTAAACAATTATTTGTTGTACAGAGAAAAATAATATTTGTGCTCGTGTTGGTCCATTAATTGTCACTGAAGTTGCTGCCTCTCAACAGAACAAACATCCTATTTTCATTTAATGGAATAAATCGTCAAAATTATGTACATAGATAGATAGATAAACTTTTTATTTGAGCCATTTATGACACACGTAAATTTACAAATGAGTTTATACAATTAATGTATGCACACAAAAACTTTTTTTTTTTTTTATAATACTTAGAATGGCAAAGAAACTGAAAGTTAATCTCATGGAAAGTGTAACCTCCACTTATAAATATGAACAGCACTATGAATATCACAGGTATGTCTTCTACCCCTCATGCATTGCTATTTTTCAAAAATATTGTAATTTTGCACTACTTGGAGATATCAAACAAATATACGAAATTCTGAAATTATAATTACCGTTTTATAAACAGGTTTAGACGACGTTGATGCGGGGACAGGTGTCGCTGCAAGTCGGTGGAAGCGAATAGCGCCGCTAAGCGCGAGTACTGCTGGTTCGTGGCTGAACACAGCTCGCCCAGAGTCTGTAGAGCCGTTTGCGCTGCTTCCGCGTAGTCGCGCACCCACAGCGCCATCTATGCATACGAATTCTTATAACAAATAATTAGGTTGAAATGACAATAGCATCCTTCGTTGTAAAATTGGCTTTAATGTAAATTAATTAATGATTTTAAGTTAAATTTCATTAAAACTATCGGCGAAGTAGTCCAAGAAGGCTGTTTTTGACAATGTTAACTCTTAAGCGCTAAAAACACGAGTGAAGCAAAGGTATTCGAGCAGACTTTTGTATGAAGTCTTTTTCGATATAAAACTATATAGAACATAAGTATACAACCTTTTAAAATTAATGATCATAGCAAAAAATTTTAATTAATATTATAAAGAATTTTAATATTATTATTTTTTGCATGTTACAGATAAACTGAAATATTAATAAAATTGTATAACCGACTTTAAAAATTCATTCACCTATAGAAAGCTACATTATCAGGAATAACATGGTGCTTTTATTCGTGCGAAGCCAGGATAGGTTTCTAGTGTTTCATAATATTGACTAAAGATTTATGTCAGGCGCTAGGAGCCTGGCAACTGTTACAGAGCGAAGTAGTCAAAAGTTTAAGCAATTACTTGAAAGGTTCTCCAGTCGTCGACTCCCTCGACGAGTTTCTGCGCCCGCTTGGCGTTGAGCCTGACGACCTCTCGCGCGTTATGAAGCCTGCTCTCCTGTCGCAACATACGCTCTCTTGCGTTCTCTAGCTCGTTTTCAGTCTCCACTCTGTACGATTATTCAGAAAAGTATAAATTTTTACTGCTGAACTGTACGACTCGATGGTGAATAGTTCATTCTTTGGTCCGAAATTTCATTGTATGCTTCATATTTGTGTGAAATTCATTAAGATCTGAAGCCAATAAGTGTCAACCTAAGGAAAACAAGATACGACATTAAATCAAATATTGCTTGCGTTACACTATCGATACAATTATAAGGTAGTTTACACTAGACCAATCTTTGTCAATAAATATTACTATTTAACAAATTACTCGTATTTTCTACAGTATTTATAGCTACTTAAAAAATAATATACTTCTATGAATTTAGTTGAAAATTACGATTACCAATTTAGCTTTATTTCTTACTCTTTATTGCTCGCGGAAAAAATAAACTACGTTTATATCTACTTTGGTACTTTTGATAAAACATACACCAGTTTACAGTTTAAGTTAGAACCTCAGGAATACAACTGTGAAAAACGCATTCAATTTGGTGCAGTAATTTTTGCCTGACGACAGACGGAATAAACACAAAAATCCTAAAAAATATTGTTTTAAATTCTATTGTTCTCTAGTAATAACTTTATTATATATTATAACGGCAGTTATAAAAACTATATAACCGAATCAGTTTTTATCCGCATAATCGTGAGCGGTGATAGATGAGAATGTAACAGGTCAGTTGACTCGATCGAAAACACGATGGTTACCAAGGGGAACTGCCAGGATATATTGCTAACAATGTATATTAATATGTCCAAAAATAACAATCAATATTGTGTACAATAAAGAATAAAGAAAGGTGTTATGATTATTATTACAATATGACTTACTCTCTGGCCGTAAGTTGCTTGCATTTATCGGAGAGCAAGGTGAGGCGGGAGGCGGTGTCGCTGACCGCCTGCTCTAGCGCCGCTATCTCCGCGTGCAATCCCTTGAGCTCATCGCGCATTTCATAGTATTGTTTTGTCAGACCATTCAGCTCCTCTATTTCGGGTGCTGGCGAGTAGAATTACGTTTATTTTTATTTGTTTGCTTATTTACTAGACGTTAAAAAGACATAATAATACCTATTAATTTTAAGTAACTTGAAAATCACAGTATAGTATAGCAAGCTTGCTTGCACGTTTCGGAGTTATGACAGTGAAATTACAGAGTACGGACACACATCATATTCTTTATGGGTGATTGTTGCCACATTTTATTAGGTGGGCCGTAAGCTAGTTCGCCATTTAAAGTCATATAAAAAAGGAAAGCATACATTTGTGTAAATGTATGGAGACTTTGAAATTTTCGTATAGCTACGTACACCATTCACCTCGAACAAAGAAAACCAAGAAACAGAAACGACCTTAACCCGGGAGTCGTTATTCTCGGAGCACGCCGGAGTGAAAGGGAGTCTTTACTCGGCTTATCTTGAGCTTTAAGGATCTATCGATTGGTAGTAAATCTACACTAATTTTAAGAAAGAGAAAAGATTTGATCGGACGAATGTTTGTAATGAATAAATTTAAAACCTATTCAACGTATTTTAAAAATTCTTTCACGTATAGAAAGGTACATTATAATCGAGTAACATAGAGTACATATTTTTTTTTAACGGATGATAATGTAATGGTAACCCCACCTGCGCAAATGGTATACGCTGGCGGGGCACCAATAATAGATGATAGGTAAGGGTGAAAAGATAGGTCAGTTAGAACATCGTAATGAATACATCTGGAATTCAGCATGATGATATTTAGGGAAGGCCACGTAGAGGTCGACCTGATAGAGTATATTGCTAGTAATGGGGCAAGTAGTCCGCATTACTAACAATTCTCTCCTCCCTATATATTATTTCGGAAAACTATGTACCCGTTCGAGGCCGGACTGGGTCGCTGATGAACTAGCTAGTAGTACGCACTGTGGTCGGGCAGGGGCGCGAGGCCGTGCGCGAAGTGCGCGTGCGCGGCGTGCACGAGGCGCAGCACGTGCTCGAGCGCGGCCAGCTCGCGCGCGCGCCGCGACAGCTCCGCGTCCAGCGCCGCGCCGCGCGCGCGCAGCTCCGCACGATCCGCTGCGAACTACACGCCGATCGTAACATGTACTCGCAGTTACATGTTCACTTCATCTCTACCTACCCTCATTTACTAATAACCCCGCTAGCACACACCAATAGCTCGGGCTGGCATTGCATTGCATTTTATCTATTAAACAAAGGCTTGTTTCATAGAATAGGCCACCCCTTCTTTTCCCGTGGGTGTCATAAGAGGCGACTAAGAGAACTTAATGGTCGAGGGACGAGCAGCAGCGTCCCTTTTAATAAACATCTCCAACTGCGGTTGCGACTTGTCCGACCGTGGCAACTACTGGCAAAAAAATAGAGCGGGGCCTATGTTCAACAGTAGAAAATTAATGGCTGATATAATGTGATGATTACCAAATTGTTATACCTTTATTTTAAAGAATGTCACCGAAAGCTGTTGTCCACATTCGTCTTTGCCGAGTGATCCTATAAATATGTCATACCTGAAATAATACAGATAAATAAGAGACCATTTTAATATAAGAACGACAACAATTTTTTATTAGATTATTTTACAAAAAAAAAAACTTTTTGTATGTGTAACATTTGATTTTTTTTTTTATTTCGAACTCGATAGCGTAGGCGGGGTTACCATATCAATATCACCCATTAAAAAAATACGACTACATTAAAATTTTGAAAAAAAAAATATATCATGCAAAACAAGCTAGTTGGAATCAGTTTTCAGTCTCCAGATTGTAATTGTAGAAAACGTGTCACCTCTTCTTGAGCTGTTCTATGCGTTGCTCGCGCTCTTTTATCTCGCTGCGCAGCTTGCCGCAGTCCTCGAGCAGGGCTCGCTTTTGAACATTGAACATGTCTCGTCGCGCGGCTATCTCCACTAGCCGCTCGTTCATTGCCTATATTCAAATTTTATAATATAATACTTCTGCCAAGATGTAAGTCATTCATAACTCTAATGATTTATAAATGGCTCGCGTTTTGGTTTTTTTTTTTATACTATTTAACTTCGAATACAGACTGTACTTGTCGAGTGTGAATGCGACATCAAGTTCGCGAGTACTCTATCCGCCTACATGTTACACAGCCACTACAGCGCTGCACATGTCTTACAGCATTGAGCTACAGCCGCTGATTGTCGTGTACACACTCAATATAGGACAGCCGCTGCAGCGTTGCACGAATACTGGTAAAACCTTAGCATACCGAGCTACAGTCGCTACAGCGTTGGACGAATACTGGTAAATCTTACACATCGAGTTACAGCCGCTGCAGCGCTGCTTGCGTGCTACTAATATCATACCGCGTCGAGCTGCAGCCGCTGCTTGTCGAGCGTGAAGGCAGCATCGTCGAGGCCGGCGAGCGCTCGTTCCGCTTGCGCGACCCGCAGTCGCATCAGAGCCTCCTCGACGCGCGCCCGCCGCCACACGTCGCGGGATGCACGCAAATCCTTGTCGCCACCATCCACGTTCAGCATAGATGACTTCAGCCGACTTTGCTGGAATTATTAAAAACAGAACTATGTTAATATTTCTCTTATTTTAACTTTTTTCTTGATCTATAAATGAAAATAGAATAAATGTTGTCAATCTGATATAACTATTCAAATATTAAAAAGCTATTTATCTATCCTATTTCAGAGCCGCTCACTATGATTTTCTGAGAGTCGTTTCACCTCTTGATAAGACACGACACCAACTTTTTTCTTGATCTGCCTGATATAACTATGCCTTGGTCTCCCTCTTCCCCTCCTTCCATCTATCTTACCTTCTATTATAATGTTCATAGGTTCATTGTGTCGTATCAAGTGTCCTAACATTTTTCCCTTCTGACCTCAATAGTTCTTTAATTAAATAAATTAAGAAGATACATAGTAATATTTACAATTTTTTTTTATTTTATATAGCGATTATAATTCTTAATACGGTAGTAAGAGGGATTTATCTGCTGTCGCATGTGTATTATATCATTACTACTACAATTATAACATTGTGTGCCATTGTACAGCGTTGTTCACATACCAACTTGGCATGGTGGGCGCTCCTGTGTTCGAGGTCACGCGTGAGGCGGCGCATGTCGTCGAGCAAGCGCGCCGAGTGCCGTTCCAGTAGAGCCACGCGCGTCGCGTGACGGGCACATACCTCTTTCAACCTAAGAAATCAATTTTTTCAATAACTCCTTAGATTAAAATTTATAAATTGATAATGTAAAAAAAAAATAGTATGTTAGCGCGTGATAGACAGGGAAGTTCACGCACACAATATAAGCTCGAAAAGGATGTGGCAGGGGTTATGAACAAAATAAATTCTAATTATTTTTACATTTTAAAGTTTAATTGGTTTTAAACGAATGTAGTTAATTGGTAATAACGAAACACAAATTAGGCTATTAATCGATCGCTACCCCGAGCCTAGAGTTAATAGGCCCAGTCTGGGTGACTTCCCTATTAATTACCGTCCGGTGTCTAAATTGCTATAGCATGGCCGCAAAATAACAGCTAAATCACCAAAATTATAGAACATTAGATACTATATTTATTTGTACGGGATCACCATGTCAAAATCATTCTTTGTACTCAAAAGTGGTCTACTGAGCAGATCTTGTCTATAGTTTTTGTTCAAGATATTTACTGCGAACTGTACCTGTTCTCTCTTTCCACTAACTCCGCGGAACATTCACGCTCCGCCTGTGCCCCTTCCATGTGTGCCACGCGAGATCCTATAGTCTCTACTTGATAACACTGGAACAAAAATAAGCGTGAAATTTAACAGCTCAGATAAGAGCAACATGTAACAGTTCGGTGTATGAATATACTAACATAATGTAACATATGATGTTAAGTTTCATAAATATATTGGCGGTCAATACACTTAAACAAATAAGCTTAAAGTACACAATTTTAGAATTGGTTTCCTTAATTTTAAAATGTTAAATAATATAATATTAATCCCAAGTGACACACTCACACAGCTACATAACTAATTACTTGTGTGTTACACAATGTATATTGTACTAACAATAGCATATAGTGACTCCTTTTGACTCTGCAAATTTCTTTGTACGCTGCGTTGTTTCGTGTCCAATTTACATATTATTGCCTTCGAAGCTGCAAGCAATGCAATATAAATACACAATATGTTATAAAAATGCTATTTAAAAAAAACTTTATATATTACATTATATAGAATTATTGTATGCAAGTATGTATAATAAATAAGTAATAAAAAACAGTTTTTTCTTCTATTAAAACCAAAGAGTTTTATTTGAATGTGAGTGATGTTGTATGGCACTTCATATAAAAACATATATAACTCACAACTGTCACTATTGCAAACACAAATATTGTTTAGACACATACAAATATATATGTAGGTATGTATAGTTTCTACCGAACGTGACGCCTTCCTTTTTTAAATGTCAAAGAGAATTGTAAGGAACGAATCCATTGTATGGAGTAATACTATTAACTCTATAAATATAATTAATATTAATCTCTGGCATAAAAACATAACAGCTTAGCGCTCAGAAAGACTAATGCACGAGAGATGTTATTATCAGTACAGTATTTTCTGTGATGACGTCATTTTATTTAAAATCCTAGTAGAACAAATAGCTTGCTACCTTTGAGTTGCATGTGAAATAGTTTTTCTTCATTCTTAAGAGCAAGCAGTTTCTGTTGTTCGACAAAGGAGCAATGCATCGCCCGTTGCTGGTTCACAGTCAATTGACTCGCGTAACGCTCCTCTTCCTATTTGAAAAAAATACATAAATAAATGACAACCGAAAGACTGTCTTCTTTGAAGTCTCAACACTTCCAATATGCTAAATAATAATTAAAATAACCTGATATACTCACATTCAACATATCCTCTAGTTCTTTAGCCCTTTTTTCAGATGACTTGGATCTATCTAGTGAATCCGTCAACTTTTCTTTTAATTCTCTTATCTGTAACACAAAGCAAGTAATATATAAATCAAATATAATCTGTTTCAACAAAATTTAATAAGAATATAAACAAACTAATAATTAAACCAAGCGTGAACAATCCTTTCCTTTTTACTTATTAGTATTATTGATACATTTTTATTAGTAGTATTAATAATAAATCCAGTAACGGATGAATGTTTCGATTTACTTATTTACAGTTTTATATAAGAATCTGTCAAATATAATTATATATTTAATAAAATAAAATACAAAATTGACTTGAAAATATGTATGTAGAGAAATTTTTCAAGCACCTTGTTTACAATTGTTTGAAGTAATATATCCTTTCGATGTTGTTCCTCCATAATCTGCCGGTTTTCCATGTGAAGCTTCTCTGATATGCCCCGCATGTTACTAAGCTCCCGTTGTAGGCAATGCACCTGCCCGAATTAAAGAAAATTAAAATGTAGACATTTGATAAGACAGTAGAAATTGTAGTGAAAACTAAATCAATATCAATTATAAAAATAAAAAAGATTCAGTTGTCTGTTCTAAACTTTATTATATTATTATAATATTCTACTAAGCAATAGCAGAGTGAGATTAAGCTACTTACGTCACTGTCTAAAGTCATATTATGATCACTGAGCTGTTGGAAGGCCATCCGGACGTTGCTCAATTGCTGCGCAAGCGCCATGTTGTCGCGCTGTGCGTCTGCATTGTTGCCCTGCTGTTGGTCGCAAAACGTTTGTTGCTCGCGACACTGCTCCGCGATGTTATTAGCTTCTGCTTCTAACACGGCATAATCCTGAAAAGTGGTATTATTTTATAACAATGTTATAAAAAGGAAGCACATTTTCTTTTTTTTTTTTCAATTTTGTCTGTTATATCCATAGGTGTATTCAATGGGGGCCGGACTATGCCCACCTCATATGTATCTGGTGGGCACCAATATGTGAATGCAACTTTTAACTATACGCGAAGATATGTCTTGAGGATATGTATTATTTTTACCTATTGAGACCTTTTTAAGGGGTCAAGTCACCCAGGAAAATTATCTTACAAAGGTTACAACCTCTCATTTTAGCAAAGGTACCGTGCACCTTTGTGCAAAAGTTGTCTTGTTTGTGGAAAACAGAGGTATCCAAATGTGCCATTCTTGTTTCTTCCGTGAAGCAGTTGTGTTTGCATGGCTGTATTTTAGCTTGAAGTGTGGGATATAGTAATTAAATAACAGAGTACAGAGGCATACCAACATTATCCTCAGAAATGGCAATGCATGAAGGGTTTATTACGTTTATTATGTCCAGAGTACTGTTCATGTCTATAAGTGACCATTAACACTTTCTATCAAGGAAGCCGTGCGGCCTGTTTGCTATTCTAAGTTGCATAAAAAAATTTAAAATTCAGAGACAGCCTAGGGCTAGATCTTGGGACCTGCAGTCATGCTTTACCTAACTGAGCTGTCACTGCTTATTTTAAAGATTAAATCATTATGACTATATTACATCTATTAACTGTATAAAAGTGTAACATTATGGAATGTAATTTAATTTAATCTCTTAGTTTTTTGACCAAAGTTCATATAGATTATTTTACCTCTCTAATATGTCTAATGTCAGTGTCGCGCTGCCTCAAATTCTCAACGGCATTGGTCCACATGGTCATCATCTGCTTCCTTTGTTCCATGCCTTCCATCACCTAGATAATCAAGAACACAAGCATTTTAGTAATAAAATTGTTTTCATGTTTGGAGAACACAAATGAATAATGAAAATCTATGAGATGCAAATTTATCATATTTACTTAATCACTATAATATGAAATTAATTGATATATGTGTATGTTGCAACACTTAATTATTTTAACGGCGACCCGACCAACGGTAAAAAAGATGGTTGCCATAGGTGCTGACCATATACCATAGCATTAGATGCTTTAAATAGTTTTAGTTTTTTATTACAGCTTAGTAAAAAATACCACTGTCGAATTTAATAGATACTTCACTGATGCATGATTTCTGGCGCCACTTAAGGCTGGTACTGTAGATATATTTTCATAATTCTTCTTTTTTAAAGTTGATTGAAATATACCTGCACAGATATCCTCTCACAAGCCCTTTCCTCAGCGCTAAGATTAGAAACCAGCTGATTGAGTCTATCGTGCATACGATCATGTTCCACTTTCAATTTTTGTCTCTTGGTCTCCAATGCCTAATAACAAATAAATTTTATGAAATAAACTTTAGTTTTAATAATAAGTATTATTTAATAACTGTTAATAAATCTAGACTTAATGTTTTTATTGTAGGTCCGAGTATTATTATATACTCTATAGTAGGAAACTTAAAAATACTTATTCCTTTACATGTAAAGGTTAGTTCTAGTCAATATTCCAAATAAATGAATCATTATCAGTCTCTATTGTTTAATCACCTTAGCTTTAGAAAGGTCTTGTTTTGTGAATTGTTCTATAGCCGTAATATCTCCAGCATTCCTTTCGAGAGCTGCACGCCACTCTTGTAAGGCGCCACATTCGCCGCATACTTCACTTTTAAGAGAGTCTGCCTTCTTCAAGAGCCGTGCAATATTGACTGAAATATTTACAGTATTTTGGTAACACAATGTAACTTGAAAAGGAATGATTATAGGTAAATTCTTACTTTTAGGAATCTCTATCCTCTATATCCCTTTTCACATCTTAATCCTTTAGAGTGGCAATGAATGTAGAGGTGCCACAGTAAGTATAATATTTTTTTTACAATAGAATTTATTTCTTGAGATGATAAGTGAACTGACAGAAAGTAAATTCACAACCATTACCTTTATAGAAGAACAATGAACAGTGAACTTTATAGATTACACTTTGAGCCCCATGAACTAATTGTGCCACTTCATCCTGTAATTTCACTAATATATCCCACTCTAGTAAACTATAAAATGCAAAATACTTTTATACAAATTCTTCTTCTGCTAACCATCCCTTTAGTTCATGATATATACTTTTATATTTATGCACATAGTTTTGTGACTAGGTACAGACAATACACAAAAAAGTACACTTCCCATTAAAAATGGACATGTCACATTGAAGTAATGCTGAGTAGATAATATAAAAATTAATACAAACTAAACAGTACAGGAAATGAATCAGGCAGTACATGAATTTTGAACACTGCCTCAATGTGAAATGTTAAAAAAAAGAAATTATAAAGAGAAATAAATAAATAAAAATAATTATAAATAATATTAAAATATACCTTGAAGTCTATTAATGCGCTCATTAATTTCTTTGCTCTGTTTATTGCTATCAACAATATCCCTATCAAGGCGATCAGCTTCATTGCATGATAATTGTTTTAACTTCACCTCTTGTTCAAGCTGTTGCTTGTGTGCAAAAAGAAGTCTCTGGAATGTAATAAACATATTATAAATATGATTATTATAATTTTCATAAAAGTATAAACAACATATGAAGATTGGAGTACTTAAGATTATATTCTAAGAGTAATATGCTATCTAATTTCAAGGAAACAAATTTACTTTTAAATAAGAATACTTAATACTACTCAAAAAATACTTACACTATTCTCTTGATATTCAGAATGGACATAATCCTTATATTTATTAAGATCCTCACGTTTTTGTTTTTGCAGAATAAGAGCCTCCTTCAGTTTTTGTATTTCATTTTGTCTGTAATTAAAATTTAATCCTTGTATTTTTTTTTCAAATAAAAAAAAAAAGTTGAATTTAAAAATTTGCTGGTGCAAAACTTACCTACTAATAAGCAATGTTTCCAAATTTTGATTATCAGGATCCGCTAAAGGAATTCTTGTTCCTTGATTCCAGCCGAGTTCTTCCAATAGCTGAGCCATATAGCCCGGTACCTTTCCTAGTTCTGTCATATTAGAAATATCAAATAAATATTATTAAAGAATAAAATTCCTATAAAGAGACTAAGGTGACGATGTTAATTTGTTTGGTACAACCAAACAATTGATATTTGCCTATTTGATCGATACTGTTCAGGTCCGTTGTATGTTAGATACGAATTATGAGATTAATAATAGAGAAACAAAACAAATTCACCGCCATTAAACTTTGTTTGACAGTTTGACTAAAGTCACAGGTCCTGTCATTATGACAATCATGACAGTTAACAAAGATGTAAATTAGAGTCATAGATATGCAATATCTGACAAAGACAATTGTATTCTGAAAACCGTTAAAAAAAAATAATCGGAACAATAATGTATAAAATATTATAATATATATTTTATGTGTGTTAGATGTATGTATGTGCTATACATTTATTTTTAAATCTTTCTGATTTTTATTAAAGAAATGTTAATTTCTTATGAAACTTACTGTAATAATGAGAGCACAGGATACATTGACATATATTTCATGAGTTATTGCATATGTAGGTTATATATATATATATATATATATATATATATATATATATATATATATATATATATATATATATATATATATATATATATATATATATATATATATATATATTTTTAAATAAATTATTAAGACAAATATAAACATATAAACTTAAGATACAATAGAATTAATTAATACTGTATATTGCGTAGAAATTAATACTATGGTATGTTATATGTATATTAATTCTTACGTACTGTACAATATAACTCAATCTATCTATCTAATCTCAATTTGTTTGTACTTTATTAGCTAAATGCCTAAAATAGAATTATATAAATACGTTTACTATATATATGTTCTTACAATAGAATTTTATGTCTTAAAACGGCCTAAGAGTATTTTTAAATTATACCAATTGTACATCATTTGTTTTTAAAAATTTGTAAATAATTATTAAACGAGTTAGTAGAAAAGGCAGTATACAGTATTCTAATTGAAATTCAGCAATAAACAGAATAAGTTTGTAACGTAGTTCCTTGTGATCCCGGCATAAAATAGACCACCCCTTCCTTTCCCGTGGGTGTCATAAAAGGCGACTAAGACAAGGCGAGGGATGGACAGTAGTGTCTTTCTTAAAAGAACTTTAAAGACTAACTTCGGTTGCCAATCCGCCTGCCGGGCGTGGAAACTATTGGTAAAACCCCCAAAGGGGAGGCTTATGTGGACAGTTAAATATGATGATGATGATAATTTAATTAAATAAATAATCCTAAAAATAATATCACAAAAGCATGTTTTTATTCCGACTCCAAATTAAAAATATAATAAAGTATAACAATATTCTAAGCCATTGTATCTTCTTGTAACATCTACGTATAACAAAAAATACTCGACTATTAGTCATTACTAGATTCAAAGTAAATAAAATACTGGCAGTACTCGCAGCAAATAATTTTCAATAGATAAAATGTTATTTTATTTACTTATTGTAAATATTGTATATTACTGATAAATAATAAATTATACTAATTTTGTTTAAAAGCATTTAATATTTTTTTATTATTTACGTCATTAAAAATATTTATTAATTACGTTACTATTACTACTATTATCAGTTGCGTTGATTGGAAATAATAAGTGTAAATGGCTTAAGACCGATTGTTGAGGTAATCAATAGATTTATATATTTAGGTATGTAAATAATGAATCTTAGAAACTATGATACAATAATATAGATATTATAATAAAATGCATGGTATGGAACTAATTCTATGAATGAAGCACTGGTGTGAAATCTCTTGAAATGCCGCCAAAAGAATAAATGCGCAGTCTTCTAAAAATAACTTGTTGGATTTAGTTTTGCGCTACAGTGGTAGCATACTGACAACGTTTCGATGGTGAAAGAAATAAAAATATTCGTTTGTTTTTCCTCGTGAGAGTTATAATGAGTGATACAGCAGCATCTTTATCGTGCCCAATATGTACCCATACTGGAGTATTCGATTCTGTGCAATCACTGAGAGATAGATTAATACATGTGTCTACAAATAAAATCTTGTGTCCTGTATGCCAGGAAGAAGTAAGTGGATTAGACAAGCTCACAATACATTTATTTAGTCACGTTAAATTATTAACAACGAAAGGATGTTCTGAAAAACAAGAAACCGTAACTAATATATCAAAATCAACGACATTTGATAACCTAACTAGTAGTGCACTTCAAAAACAGGCCAAACCAGCTGGATCTAAAAATAAAACTACGCTATCAACAGCAAATATGCCAATAAAATATGTGAAGATATACCCCAAGTTACCAGTTGTTTCTCTTAATCCCGTGCCAGTTATAGATGTATCAAGACCTTCTGATAAGGAATGCATACGAGCTAACAATTCTTTGTTTGTACCGACGGTAAAAGCAGATGCATCGCTAACACAAACAAATACAATATGTAGTGTTTGTGGTTTACAATTTGTAGATGCTGATATTTTAAGAATGCATAGATGCTTGATACATAATATTGATGAAAATTCAAGTCAAAACGTTTCCAGATATCATTGTCATATATGTCCTAAAAATTTTAAAATGAGAGGTTCGTTAATGGTTCATTTAAGAGTGGCACATTGCGGATTCCTTTCTGGAAATCATACCTCTATTACTAATACAGATTCAAAAAATGAACAGAGAAAAATACAAGAACCACCGCTAGAAGATAAATTAACTAGTCTTGAAAGGACTGATAACAAACAATGGCAGTGTGATGTATGTCGAAAATGCTTTACAACTAAATATTTTCTGAAGAAACATAAGCGTCTGCATACAGGTTAACAAATTGGTGATATTTTGGAGGTAATTTTTACTAACAGACAAATAATAATCAATTAGATCGCCATAAATGCAATTTAACGAAAACTACTTACAACTTTAACAAAAATATGATATTATTTAGCTTTTTAGCTATTTGCGACAATAAATCATCTTTTATTTCTTACAAAATGACTACGTACTATTTTATACTTAATTAATATTTAAGGTTTTTTATGTTTATGATTTTAGGTGAGACGCCCTACGCTTGCACTCAGTGTAATAAAACATTTACTTTCCAACAATCTTATCATAAACATCTACTTTATCATAATGATGAAAAGCCTCATACATGTAATTATTGTGGCCGTTCATTCAAAGAGCTCTCAACTCTTCACAATCATCAAAGAATTCATACTGGTGAAAAACCATTCTCGTGTGAAACTTGTGGTAAGTTAAAAAATATTAATTAACTTTGTAAAATAATATAATTAAAATAAAAATGGAATTATACTTGTAATTAATACTAATGAATTGTAAAAATATACCCATAATTATTATATTTCAGGTAAATGTTTTCGTCAAAGAGTATCGTATTTAGTTCATAGACGTATACACACCGGTGTAATGCCTTACAAATGTACAGCATGTGAAAAAAGTTTCCGATATAAGGTAATAAACATTTTCAAATCATTTTACGGTCATATCATGATATATATATATATATTTTTCTTTTTTTACGAACAAGCATACAGCCCGTTTGATGGTAAACGGTCACTGTAGCCTATAAACGACTGCAACATTAGGAGTGTCATGTGCGCATTGCCGAACTTGAAGAAACCTTAATATACCTTTTTTGAAGAACCCCCTACTGTACTGTTGCGGGAAAAAAATTCTCTGAAATCGCACTATACGTGACCATTTAAGCTCAAGGATGTGAGGATGAATTCCCTGATTATGGTTAGCGGTGCGATGATAAAAGGTGGCAGTGGGCATCATTTCAAATAATTCCTCAGAACACAATCCGTTATACAGGCGATAGAATACACAAAGGGAGGCAAAGTATTTATTATTTAGTATTATTTTTAATTTTACAATGAATGATTACAGGTTTCACAACGAACTCACAAATGTCCGTCTAAACCACCTGGTGTAGTTATACGACAAGTCGGTGATCTCGTAGAAAAACTTAAGAAAAGACACGCTGATTCAGATATATCACAACAAGAAGCACAAACCCGAAATATAATGTATTCTGAAATTTCTGAAGCAAATGCAGAACTAGTTCGTACTGGAGCTAAATTATCTTTAGAAGACATGGAATCTGATAATTTTAAGCTCATTTCTGATACACTTGTTGATGAAAATAAATTGTCTACAAAAGCTTCCGCAGCAAAATTTACGCCTCCTGATGAAGATAATATACAGAATACTGAAATATTTGATACCAATTTAGAAGACATCATAGATTCTATTCCAACTCTTGATAAAAATATGCCATCACCATCAGAAATTCTTAAAAATTTATGTCTATCAAAAGAAGACGACTACGTAATATGGCCATAATATTATTATAATGGATAGTGTAACTCGATATCATTGTATTGGGGTCTGCAAAATATTGTTGAATTGCCTTTGATATTGTAATTGTTCATGGGCTGCGGTAATATCTAGAATATTATAGTATGCATCCACCGATTATGATATTTATTATTTCGATAGCTACATTCGTTAAATAAAACAAATACTGTAAACATTTTTTTACCTATAGAGTGATTTTATTTCATCCCATTCATCTGAATTATTATAATTAGGATTATACTAATTCTAATGCGACAATGGAACAAATAACCTTTGTCTAAAAATAGGCTATATTCGAGTTGATGAATAGACTAATTCGACTTTTTTCTGTTATCATTTCTTCTCTAATAGGCTGGACTATTAGAAGTTTATGTGTTGTAACAATCAAAGAAAGAAATTATCTGTATATTTTTCAGAAAGATATTTTTGATCCTTGAGGCATACTGTTAAGTATCGATGATAGAACAATAATCAGCAATTCACCAAAATATTTTGGTACAAGATATTTTCATACGAACCCGTACAGAATATTATTTAATTATTTTGTTTTGAATTATATTCAGTGCATTAAATGATCAATATTACAATTAAAATATTTATAATATACTATTTTGCTTGACATATAATTTCACAATTTATAAAGTACACGATTGTTATGACTAACAACTGTAATAGAAATAATTTTAACTTATTTACACACAGTTTCTTAATTTTACTGCATTAACGACAACAGCGCCATCATGTACGTGAATTTTACGGAATTGAAACTGGGTGGTTATCGATGATTACCGGTTTTGTACTTCACTTATAGTTTGTGCTTTGTGATTTTTGATGAGAAGAAAACACAAAGAGTTTTGTTACTTTGACCAGCTGTTTTTGTTCTCATTATAAAATTGTGAAAATCAGTATGGATCTAAATTGAATAGTGTCATTTCTTGTTGATATAGTGACATTTTGTGAACTGAATGTGCATAAAAATATTCTTTGAAATTTTATTTAGTGCTATCACAATCGATTTGAACATAGTGAAATATCAGTCGCGATAAATGGATTGCGTTTTTAACGATATATTACGTCTCATTTAATTTATTCGATCTATATAAATTAAGACTATCGAGCGAATGTTCAGTTCGTTTCTTACACTAACCTTTTATCAATGTGAGTATTTTAAAAATATGATTTTCTTCTGTATTGTAGAAACTACGTTTCTAAAAAATTCTACAGGAATTGACCAAATAATTACCATGTCTAGAGAATCTGCACCATATGCAAGATTTTATGATAGTATTTAAGCTTTTGTATCCCATAACTAAGCTTAAAACACGAGATACAATATTTTAAAATTATTTTAGAAATTATGTTAAAAATTTCATCCTTTAAAAATGAAGGATACAAAGGAATTGGTTATTATCTTTTTTGAGCATACAAATTACCTTCAAGGTAACATACTACATGTTATGTAGGTAGGTATGGTTTCCATTTACCTTCACAATTTTTTTTTTTAACAAAAATATGGTAATCTGTGAGATCTTATAAATGGGCTAATCCATAGTAACATTATATAAAACCAAACATTATATCATATATTTTTGATTGCCCTACTTTTTATTGAAACAGAATTCTTCTTATTGCTAAACTTCAAGAAAAATATAAGACTATCCCACCATCGCTTTAAGATATATGACATATTCTGGTACATTTTTGCCTGTTTTTACTGTCTCACTGTAACTATTGTATAATTATAAAAGAAGACATCTCTGTGCATGCATCAATTATTCTAAAATTTAAGAAGGCTTGTGGCCATTCTAATGATTCCTGAGGAAGATATGGCAACACTGACTTGTTAAAACATGGAAATACAAACTTTCTACTGAAGATTATGGCTTAGTAGATGGCTTAGTTAGTCTTTACCATTGTGCATAAATTAATACTTCTATTGCTTTATTGGCAAAGAAACTTGTAATTAAAAACTGAATTGTAATGTTTCCTAATTATTCACTCAGTTATAAAGTTGTCACCTCAACCATTGTAATCAATATAAGAATTTATATAATCCTATTAATAATATTATAAATACAAAAGATTGTAAGGACTAACTACCTACTGAATGCATTTGAAATTTGGTACATAAGTAGATTATATTCTAACGTAGAACATAGGGTACTTTGCATACTGATTCATGTAGTCGAAACCATATACTAATTATTAATAAATACAAATAACAGAATCAGTCAATAGTGATCAGTAATATATACAATAATTTATAGTTAAATATTTAATAAATAAAGTTGTTTTTATTACAGCTATACTTATCCTAAGAAGTGCCATACTGCTATACCTATATGTTATTTACCTTAATATGTTATTTTGCTTGATTTTTTAGGTTTAAACATTTTTTTTTTTTCAAAAGTAAATAGAGCACTTTTTCAATAAGTTAAATTAGCCAGGAGAAAGTATGTTATTTTATTTATTAATTTTATTTTTTATTAAAGTAAAACCAACACCAGAAAATTTCATAATAAAAAAAAAACAGTTAAGACAAAAAGCTAATTGTAAGTTTTACAAATAAAAACAAGATTTAACTAATGCAAATGATATCACTAATACTTACAATTAACTAAATTAAACTAACAATATTATAGTAGTGCAAACATTATAGGTAAGCAGTTATACAAAATAAAATGTTATAGGTATATACAAAAGACATTTAGATCATTTCATCTGCTTCATTTCAATTTTGATGATTTTAATAAAATTAAGATTCTACTTTCTTACTATTTTAATTTACATTCCACATTTCCAATAAATTCATAATGTTATGCACCATTTTATAATTAACCAACTAAGTGATCTAATGTTGATCAATAGTACCTATTATAGTAATAGTAAACTATATACATTACAGAAAGAGTCTTCTATATTGACATAGTATTTGAGGACCTAATAGTGTAAAATACACTCATAAAATATTGTTCAATTGAGTATATTTTTTCTTTTGAAATACTTAAATTAACAATGCACAAACACATAGACATTAGACAAATTATGTATTAAGTTAAACTATCCATATTTCGGTTACTGTGCCCTATCAAAATTTTGTCAGATATCATTTATTTAAAATAATTAAAAAAATAAAAATTATTAACATAATTTGTTGTTACTTTAGTTCAACTTATATTTAAAGAAGTAAAAATTACATTATTTGGAAATATTTATTTGTACAATCTTTCAAAATATTACACTATGATTATATAATCTAAGTGTTGATAAACATGCATTTACATAATAGTGTTTATAATCAACTCATTAGCTCATATGTTTATATAGTGTATACTACAGATTAATAAATACATTTAGACTTTTTTGAATAAGTTTAAATTAAAAAAGTAAAGGCAACTAAACAAATTTTTGATCTTTTTCAATCGACTTCAAAAATAAGGAAATTATCAATTCTGTAATATATTTTTTTTCTTTTTTATGTGTGTTACCTCATAACTCTGTTAATTCTAAACCAATTTGGATTTTTGATTTTTTTATATAAAAGAATATGCTACAGATTGGTCTCATAGAAATTTTATTAAAATGAGTTCAGTAGTTCAATTTTGGTTTAAAAATTGTCGGTTACAATGATGATAAATTAAAACCGACATTGTGCATTATTAGCATAGACGAGTGCACCATTCCATTTTGATCTTGTAAAAAAATGGCGCACATTAAGCGAAATTACCGTGGATTAAATCATCATCTGCACTGGCCTCAAAGTGCGCTGAAAAAGTATAATCATACGAGAATCGAAGTGAACTACCACAGTCCAAATAATCTTTGATATATCATTGACATGTATAGGAATATTTTCCAGAGAAGACCTGACCCCTTATATGTATTCTCAAGTATGTATGTCTTAACGCATAGCTGAAAGTTTTGCTAGCATCAGGGGTGGGTATTATTCTATCCACTCCATCTTAAATACGTCCATGAAGTGCATTAGTATTATGTTTATTCGTTCAAGTTGAAAATGACATTGAGTTAACTACTAGAAAAAACAAACGTCTCATTTTGTATGCACACATAACTTACATTTTACTGTCGGATAAAACTTATCAAATGCGAGTCGGGCTCGGGCACCGACTCTAATGATAAAATTCCGCCATTTGATTATGAAACTACAATTATTTTGCTTCGCAAAGAAAAATGTGGTTTCAATGATCATGTATGGCATATGGGGCCAACTAGGGGCAAATTCTATCGAGGGCTAAACATTTTCATAATACATATCGAAGTAGCTATACAATTGTTTAACGTAGCCTCAAAAAATACAGATAAAATGAGGACGTCCTCCTTTTGAAAACGCCATAAAAGAGGTGGTTAAAATAAGCGTTCATTTGAGCTCTGATACAATCTTTTTTAATATTAGAAATGTGAAAATGAGTTCTTTTATTATGAGTTAATAAGTTTGCTTATAGCGCTTTAACGGCCTAACTAATTACTATTCAATATGGTATACACGTACTATATGGGAAGGATATAGGATACTCTACTCTGCTCTATAAACATATCCCGGTCACGCGGATGAAGTCGCGAGTAAAAGCTAGTAATAGTATATATGGATATTAATAGGCAATTTTTGCATTACGATACGTAAATACAACATAATGCTACGTCAGCTAGTCAAAAAACCGGTTTATTTCGTGAACTGGTTCATTTAATTGCTAATAAACTAACCCTCACACCTCACACTTTAACCATAAAACTATAATTAGTTGCTTTACGGATACATAATGCCATGTTGCATATCGTTAATTTAAAACATGGTTGGCAAACAAATTATTATTTCATGGCTGAACGAATTTCAACATCTATAACAAACTCGCTTTTATGATTTATCTTTTTATTTCCTTTATCATTACTCGATTAGGTTCTAAGTTGTCATAGACAACAAACGACATTAGGTTTTAAGATGAGTAAAGATATAATGGTAAAGGATTTCCTGTGTCTAGAATCATAGCCACTAAAAAGAGAACCTAAGCAAGCAGATAATTCTGTGGAAAGTAATCAATTTATCAATTAGCTTCCACGCTAGTTCGCAATATCGAGCAGGCACGTAATCAAACTGTAGGGAAACACCTCGCAATCAACAACTTTAGAAAAACAAAAGCCCTTTTCTTCCTCTTTCATAACTGCTATGCATTCTAAATGTCGTCATATAATTGTTATTTATCGTGAATACACGGACTACTATTGTTCAATGCTCTAATTGAGACGGTGTCAGGGAAAATGTAAACTAAAGACGCACATACCAGTGAGTGGAATTTAATCGTGGATCTGTTTTAATAAATTTGAAATAATTAGTTAATGAAAAGATAAGCAAGTTTTGTTGCTATTATCACAGAAATAATCTCTAAATTAGTAATGTATCGAAATGTTCAATCAATTAACTGATTTTATACGCCTATTGGATATAAGAGACTTTCTATAGTCAGGCCTTTTATTCCTTTATTAAAATTCTTTCTGTTTCATTACGTTGTAATGAAACAGACTATGATATGGACGTTTTGATTCTTCAGCCATTAGTTTCTCCACATGAACTACCTTGTAGGAAATATATCAAACATCACACTTGTTTCTGGATTCAGTATCTGCATGTAACGTTTGATATCGTTAATTGCTAAATTGTCCATACTTATTATCATCCTAAATTTATTATACTATTTAGATCCTTCTTTTAAAGTTAGACTTAAAATCAATTATTAGCACGGCTTAGACGTTTGGTTATCTCAAATAGTTCACACGATCCATCAAACTTACTGTATCTTGTATCATTAACCTTCAATTTATAAATTTTTTTGCAGTTTAACTTGAAAGTGGTTATCAACACGGATTGAATGTTTGTTTTCTTCAGTCGCTGGATTTTTTATAGTTTTATGACTATCATACTTACTAAACTTCTTCGATTTTTCCTCTTAATTTGCAGCTTGACTTTAAGCAATTAACAGTTGAACTTGGAAGTTTAATCGAAGTACAATTACATATTCGTCAGTCGCTAAATATTCATGCGACCTATTAAAATTTATGCAGGTAAAGTCATTCGTTTGACTGCAGCGTTACTTGTATGTATATGTATGTAATGTAGTACAGTCCGGTTTAGGTGTTTAGTTTCG